GGGAACACTGACCTAGCTCTGGGTCATTTGCCTTTCTTTTTCTTAAGCAATGACTCAGCACATGACTCAGAAATGTGTGTGTGTGTGTGTGTGTGTCTGTGTCTGCACGTGTTCAGAGAGAGAGAGGGAGAGAGAGAGAGAGAGAGAGAGAGAGAGAGAACGCTCATGAGTCTCAGTTTCTCTGTTGGTAAAATGAAGTGTAAGATTGGAAGACCTCCAAATCCCGTCCTGCTCTAGAATTATGTAAAACTTTGGCACGTACGCCCATTGATTTGACATTACCATCCACAACTATGTGTGGGTGTGCCAGAATTTCACCTGCTGATAATACGGCGGGAAGTTAAGCTCGATGGTTTAAGAGCTGTACTTTAAAAGTTTGGTTTGGCTTCTCTCTCTGTTATTAGTGTTCTTGCACTTAGCACTCAGGGATCCAGGCCATAAAGCAAGTTGATGACTGAACTCCACTCTCTTGGCTTTCTCAGTTGTTCAGAAACTGAGCCGCATTTCCTGGCTCTCAAACTCCGTAAACTCATCAGATTCTGCTGCAGAAAAATGTCACTAAAATAACAGTCCTCAGTGGAAAACACTAGCACCATTCAGAGTGAAATGCTGAAAGAGTAACTGATATTTTTAAACTGTGAACTGGAGGCATTTTTCTATGCTGTACACATATATACATTGAGACAGATGTGTAAGGTAAAAGTTTATTTTTCTTAGGCAGTTGTCCTTTAATTGTCTCCTACAAATGGCTTTAGTCTTGGTGCAGAAGTGCACTCTGTCCTTGCTCCCTTGGCCTTGGTAAGGAAGAAATAGCCAGTTCCAAACTGCTTTCCCGAAGGAGTTGCTGGAAGGTCCACAATGTCCTCGTTAGAAATGTCGCAGCGAACCGCACAGATCCTGCCGTTGCGACGGTGCATGCACGTGGGACCATTACTTCATGCACAATGACATGAGACCAGAAAACATGTGGACAGGAAGCCAAACCCAAGAGGGCTGAGGAGCTTCCAGCTTTCCACAGTGCTCAGAAAGAAAGCAAAATGCAAAAATATTCCGAACTCAGGTGTCTGCGGGACAGCAGGGCTGCACCCTCTCCTCTCTTCAGACACTGCACAGGGACACTGGCTCAGGCGGCACCCAGCCTGGAGGCAATCATTATGTCAGCAAACTCAAAAAGATTGTGAAAATGTAGCCCTTGCTGACGAAGCCAAGACTTTCACTGTGGAATGGCCAGCACCATACATGGAAGCTCAGTATGTTCTTCATACTCTCAACTGGGCTAATGGGAATTCCCCAAGTATATCTTCTCCTTCTTTAAACAATAAGTTTTCCTATGATGCAAATGCATCTTATTCTAAAGTATATATTTGGTGATTCTTTTGTATAACTGGGATAGCAATAGTTCCTTTTGGGGACTCTTCATTTTTTTGTTGGTTCATGGAAAAAGTATTTTAGCAACAATATAAACCTTTTTCAAAGCCAAAGATAACTTCTGGAGTTTGGGAATTTTGGAAGTGAGCCATCGGAAGCCAGATACAATTCAGATTTTAACCAAATACTATCCCTTTTTTCCCTCCCTTTTTATCCGAGTACTGTTTTTCTGATGAGTGATGAAACTCTTTATATTTGCAGGTAGACAGAGTTTCTTAAATCTATTTGTAAATGTGTTGATACAGTTTACCCACCAGAAAGAAATTTTATATGACTTTTTGAGACTAGCCATGAAGTCTGGGACTAAGTCCCTTTCATAATAAGTGGCATTTGCTCTGAAGTGTTTAGGTGGGGTAAGAACTCTGAAATCCAGGAAATCTGATAGAAGCTTTGCTATAGAAGATTAAGTGCTGAGTGGAGCTGGGTGTAAGGTTATAAGAAAACTAAGGTTATCAGGTAATCAGACCTCAAAGACTTAAAAAGTCACAGCTTCCTGTCTGCTAATGAGATTGTTTTCTATTCAGTCTAGATGTTAAAGTTCTTCTACTTGTCACCTTTTAAAAATTTGCAAATGTTACCTATTTTGTACCATTCAAGCACATTTATTGAGGACACTGAGCATAATAAGGAAAGCCCAGACTTTCTTTCTCTTTAAAATTTACAAGAAATATCTGGCAATTTTATGCTTTTTAAAAGACTACTTTTAATTTTTACTCAGTGTTGCAATCTAACTGCTTAAAGACATCTCAACCCAACATTAACCCAACTAACTCAGTTTTCTCCTATAAACTTGTGCCTCCGCTAGTTTTATGGTATTCCACTATAGTTACGCAGTTGCCCAAGCCCAAACTAACATCACAGATGTTTGCTTTTCCTTTATTTCCTTTATTTGGTCCCCAAGTTGAGAATGTTCTACCTTCTAAACATCTCTGGATCTCTGCCCTGCTGTCTACGTACCCTGCTCGGATCTCAGCGTTCCTCGCTCGTACCCTACAACCTTCTTTTAACTGGTCTCTTAGCTTATAGTATTGTCACTCTCATGCATTTGCCAAACCCACACTCCATACTGGATACGACATGATCTATATAAAATCTTCCTAAAACATCAATAATATCTACTCTGCACCCGCTCAGCCCCATGACAAGTCCTCCCTTGTCTCTCCAATGATTATTAATCCTGGAAGTGCCCAGCCTGAGTTAGTTAAGAGCTGGCATTATAATGCTTCCATCACTGAGATGGGTTTGCTACAAACAAACAACAGTCCATTGAAGCAAACAATGCGCTGTAGTTGACGTACATTTTAGCCAAGCTTTTTATATGGATGTGGACTTATAAAACACGCATTTTTTTTGTGTGTGTGTGAATCATGATCTGCTCTATGCATGAGTTTGAGCTTCACTAGGGTAACTGACCCAAACACCTCAGCATGAAGCATCACAACACTCAAGATTGGGCCTCTGACAAAATCTCCAGCCCCGCTAGATTCAACACTTGAGCACCGATTGCACCGATTAAAACCAGTTCCTGTCCCCAGACTTTCTCATACTCTCTGCTCTCCAAAGCTCTTCCCACCTGGGAAGTCCTTCCACGCTCCTGCTGATCCTTCACAAGGCACACAATCAACATCACCTCCGTGACATTTCCTCTGACTTTCACTAGGAGAGAGAATCACTCTGGCCTCAGTTCCGCCACTTAATCTTAAACTCACTTCTGTTTTCGTAGGTATTATACTGTCACGAAAGTTTTCTGTCTCCTCAGACTATGGGCTCTTCCAGGGCAGGATATTAATCTTATTCACCTTTGACTCACTAGTGCTCAGCTTAGCATGTAGTACATAGTAGAGGCTCAATAAATGAGGAATTGAATCAAAGATGAAGAAATACAGTTAATGGAAAAGCCCTAAAATGGACTGAAACACTACAATTTTTAGACACTGTGCTAGATATTTTACACATATTACTTCCTTTAATTCCTTTCAACAATCCTCTCCTTGGGGTTAATAGTCTTGATCTTATTTAACAGATGTGAAACCTGAAACTGAAAATCTTAAAGATCGTGCTGCTGGTCATATAATCAGGTGATGGCAAAAATAAGCCTCTGCTCAGATCCCATCAGAGTTTGTGTTCTTTCTCCTATGACTAAGTATGCCTTTAAGGCTAGCGTGGAGATTATGTGGCTGGTCTTGGTAATTAAATTAGCTAGAGTATAGAATTTAGTGTTGACAGATCACTTTTAAATTTAGGGGTAAAAACAACTAAAATCCAGTCTCATTTTCAACTTTAATTATGCCTTAGAATTTCTTGGAAGCCCCAGAGAATTCTAAGTGGAAATGTCATATAAACAGACTCTTAAACATAGACATAATTTTATTAGGTTTCCCATGTTTATTGAATAAATGATGAAAAAATGGCTTTACGGCATTCTGAAACTTAGCAGGAAAACTTTCCACTTGGTCCATTTTGGATATTATACTACCATGCAAAATACTGAGCATGAGACAGATCCAGCAAATGGAAGAGTTCAGGATAATTAAATATATGTATTTTATGTATACACACACACACACACACACACACATACACACATATATACATTATATGTAGTTTGTACATCTGTTTATCTAAAGAGAAAGACAAGCTCAGTGAATTAATTATAGCACTATGTTACTAAAAGTGAGAGGTCTTACTTTGTTACGTTATTACCAAATTATATTTTTAACCTGAAATAGTCAGATTTCCTGTTTCTCATAGTGCACCAAGTTATCATCGTGGTTTTATAAAGGCAAATTATACAACCACCCCAAACAGAACTTTATTTTCTTGGCTTGTTCAATAGGCAAACCATACTTCCTAAGTGTGCAGAGATTGCACACTTTCTCAGTATTATTCAAAAGTTTTAAATTCCCCTTATGTTGAAAGATAAAAGCAACAAGCATGGTGCCTGAGAAAAGCACTGTTAATTCAGCATTCTTTACAGAGCCTTAGTAACAGAGACTTGGGTTTTGCCGGTCTATCTGTGTTCCTTTCGGCTATGCAGGGAAAAACCTAGCAATTCGCAGGTCCACCAGAGTTACAGGATTTCATAGCGTGTACACAAGCCGGGGCAAGTTTCAAGCCCATAAGGAAAGATGGCATCTATTTCACAGTGTGAAGAGAAACTTCCAAGAGTTGTATTTGTCTGACATTGTGAGCACGAGAGCAGAGACCTGAAGCTAAAGTTGCTGCATTGTTTCTCCTGCCTGACCCGCCAGACGACGACCGAGCTCCGATCTAGGGTGAGGAGTGTGGACGGCCCTCGGGCACCACCGGGGCTCGGTGAAGGCGGCCAATTCCAGCACCTCTCCTGGGTGCTATTTGGGTAAGTGAATGATCACAGAAACCTCATCCCCTTCCTAATCCTTTTTGGAGGGACCCAATTAGGTAGAGAACTTTGGCCCGAAACACACTTTTCATCATCTAAGAACATGAATGAGGAAAACGACTCTAGTGAATAAATAACATAAAATGGACTAGACAGCAAGGAAAGTCTGTTTCTTTCCTCTTTAAAGAAAAAAACCGAGCATCATACTTACAAGGGCCGCCTTCAAAATCTTCTCTAGAGGACAAGCTCTGGGCACTGGCAGCCTGCAGAGCAGCAGAGAGAAGGTGGCAGCCGGGCCTCCTTCCTCCAGGAGGCGAGAGTCATTGTTATCTGCCCTGACCTCCCTGGACCTGGAGCCAGGAAGGCCTGGCCTCTGGCCCTCGTTGCCCTCCCTCTTGGTCTCCTGGCCTCCAGCCTCGGGCTGAGGTTTCCTATTTGCCGCTACAGCCACCAGGCCCGACGCTGGCCCAAAGCTTCATTAGGGACTGTCTGCCAAGTGCTTGCAAGATGAAGAGAGTTATATAAGCCTGAGGATTATTATCATCACACACCCCCATAGAACCAAGGCTGCCAAACAAAAGGCAGTTCCAAGAAGAGGAGGAGCAGAGGCGAAGTTACACTGGGGGTGAATTTCGGGACACTGCTGAACTGACTGGAAAAAAGGCAACTCAATCTGTGTATGCAAACCTCTGCAAACAAACGGAGCTGCAGCTGGCCGCTGGCTGGGGTGGGGAGGCTGCTGGGGGCGGGGGAGGGAGGGGCGTCAGCTCTCCAGGTCTGGCCCCTTCCCCGCACCCTGCACAGTAGCTGCCTGTGGCAGGACGAGTGGATGAGGAAGACGCGGTATTTGGAAAGGCGGGCGTTCCAGACACCAAGTGCTTAGTAAACACTGATGTTTCTTAGAGGCAGACCAGGTGCTTCTGCCGCTTCTCTGGATTCCTGGCCTCTTGTTTTCTTAATGACGGTTTGTGGGGAGTTCCCTGTGCCGGGGCCAAACCTCTATTTTAATCCTGCATCCGTGTCTGCTCTTTTCTTGGTGGCAGCAATAACCCAGGAGGAGGGTTTTTTACCCCAGAGCCTGGGACATCTCTGCTACCTTCCTGCCCCAACCGTGGACCTCCTGTTTTCTTTAGATTATTATTATCCTGGTTCCCGGAACCGCTCCGCAGCAGCAAGGACCTTCCTTCCCTGGCATTCAGAGCGTCCACCGGCCTCCACACTGACTCCGCTGTCATCTGACCCAGCACGTTCAGGTGGGGTCAGTGTCCCAACAGTTGACCTCCACCCTTCCTCACATCCCCCTCCTCAGCCTGCAATGTCTTCCCTCCCACTTCCTTCAAAGCTCAGCTCAAATCCCATCTTTTCCACAAAAGCCTTCAAATAGGCTCTCTTTTCTCCCTGTCCACTCTGCTTTTCTGTTGTCATTCCTCACAGCACTGACGGAATTTAAAGAATAAACCTATGTCTGGCGCTGGCTGGTTTGGCTCAGCGGTTGGAGCGTCGGCCTGTGGACCAGAGGGTCCCGGTTCAGTTCCCGCTAAGGGTAGCATTTCATAGAGTGTACACAAGCCGGGGCAAGTTTCAAGCCCACAGAGTGTACACAAGCCGGGGCAAGTTTCAAGCCCATACCTCGGTTGCGGTTTGTCCCCGGCCCAGGTTAGGGTCGTGTGGGTGGCAGCCAGTCGATGTGTCTCTCTCACGTCGAAGTTTCGCTCTGTCTCTTCCCCCCTCTCTCCCTCCAGCTCTATATAATGATATATGCAGAAATGTCCTCGGGTGAGGATAAAAAAAAAAAAAAGAATAAACCTATGTCTGACTTCATAGGTTTGGGGACCTGAGTGGTTCTCCGGGGTGGCTAGGACTGGGATCTGTCTGAAGCAGGCACTTCATGTGTTTACTGCTTTTGACTGACAGCCGACCTGGTCTTCCCTGGGCCATCAGTCACCTCCGTGGGCTCAGGTGAGGGTGCCACATGTGGTGAAGCATTGATGTTGACACTGTGCAATAGGCTTGGTTGGGGGGTGACAGCCTTCACTTTTGTGTCTGTTTACAAATTCTCATAAATTAAACAAAAAGCTTTCTGAAATGTGGCAAGGAGCGGCTAAACTTCCCTGGCGAAGGGTGTCTAAACATTGTCAGGTCGTGAGGGAACAGCAATGCCAGCAGCGACCGGGCCCTGTACCGCGCATCACGGGACCTGTGAAGAGGCGCCTGCTTAACAGAATGCCAGGAAGATCCCCAAAGACGGTTTGCAGACTCACGGACTTTCTGGGATGCGCTTTCTGGGGGAACTCCTCCCCTGCTGGCAGAATGCAGGCTACATCACAGCAGCGCCTGCCAAGTGATCGGAGGCATCTCCACTGCATTGCTTTATGGCCCGGAGTGAATTATTGAACATGAGCTGTTAGGTACCGAGTGTCTTGTGGGTTAGCCTTAAAGGTTCTTACTGACATTTCCCCTGGTATCCTTTGGTGAAAGCAGTGTGCTTTAAATTCCATCAGTGGTGGTGGGATTGACTGTAGTGTCATTTAAGAGACTTGGGGTGTGTATACACGGTACATGTTCTCCCAGGTAGACAGACTGTTCAGTGAATTAGAAGAATTTTCCTGCCTCCACTAATTTGGAACAATTAAAACCCAATTCAGGTTCTACAGAGGCGTTTTAGCCTCAATTTCTTGAGGTGTGGGCTTCAGGAAAGACGGGTCTTATTGCAATTTAGTAGTTCAAGTATAGGATCTTCCCACACTTGGTTCTATGAAGTCAGAGTCGTAACCTTTACTACAGCTACTGTTTGTGAGTCCCCGCGGGTTGCAGACGCTGAGGCGAGATGCTTCACATGCATTCTTAACCTAGCAATTGTCCTACAATAGAGCTGTTTCTTTATTTTATTGTTTAACTCCTCTTTATTGTTGAATGTAAACAGTAGAACTGTTTTTACCTTCACTTTACAGATGGGAAAACTGGTCATGGAGCTTAGGAAGGGACAGAACTAGGATCTGAACCGAAATCTGTCTGACTCCATAGTCTATGGTTTTCTCCATTCACTGCAACTAGGAAGGAACCTTGGAGAGTATCTCACTTGTTGGTTTTCAAACTGGGTTCCAAGGAGCCCTAAGCTTTCAAGGAAGTGTTTCAGGAATCTTGGGGTGAATAGGCAGATAGGGAAGGAGCATATGTAAGAAGGGGAGGCCAGGTCAATTGGGCTTGGGCTCCCTTTATTAGATTCAAACAAAGATGCTTCATTTCTATCTGTTTTATAGAGTGACTTTAAGTTGTATTTGAAATAAGAGATTGGCTACTAAAAATACTTTAAAACTCTTGATCTAGTTTCATTTCCCCATTAAAAAGGTACAGAACTTGGGATCCAGAGAGATTAAATTCTTTTTTTAAATTCTCAACCGAGGACATTTATTTTTGCATTTATCTTCAGATAGAGCAGGAGGGAGAGAGGAAGGAAGAGAGAGAGAGAGAAACATCGATGTGAGAGAGACACATTGACTGGTTGCCACCCGCACAACCCCAACCAGGGCTGGGGACAAACTGCAACTGAGGTACGTGCCCTTAGCAGGAACTGAACCCAGGTCTCTCTGGACTGCAGGCTGACACTCTTAACCACTGAACCAAACCAGCCAGGGCCAGAGAGATTAAATTCTTCATCCGAGATTTTATTTATTTATTTATTTATTTATTTATTTATTTATTTATTTATTTATTTTGTAATCCTCACCTGAGGATATTTTTCTATTATATCTTCAGATAGAGCGGGAGGGAGAGAGAGAGAGAAACATTGATGTGAGAGGGACACATCGACTGGTTGCCTCCCACATGACTCCGACCAGGGCTGGAGACGGGGACAAACTGCAATCGAGGTACATGCTCTTGACCAGAATTGAACCCGTGACTCATTGGTCCAAGGGCCTACGCTCTACTGCTGAGCCAAACCAGCCAGGGCTACCTGAGATTTTCTAACAGGCCCACCATTAACGTCAGATGCCCAGGGTTGCCTGAAACGGCTGGCCTCTTCATGGCGTTCTCCTCACTTGTGAACTCTCAGGGGAAACGAGAGTCTGACCTGATTGTGTTTCCTGACAATATTCCATCTGAAAAGGCAGGTATATCTTCATTTTGGCAAGCCAGACCATTTTCTGGCCCTTGGCTGTAAGCCTGAAGTTGGTCAACATTCACCTCATGACTAATTAAAATCAAGTAAGGAGTTAAACATACAATTTGTCTGGGTGATTTAGATCTCTCTTCCTGTGTTCATTCATGTCAAAGCATGAATCATCTAGCTAATTACATAGCTTTAGCCTGTGAGCACACTTGCTACAAAACTGTGTGAGTCCCCATGTTTATAGTTATTTAGTCAGATGCAACTCTGTTCACATGAGACTTAACAGGTATGCAAAGACATTCCTCTTAGAAGTCAGGTATACCCAAGGAAGATGACCATATATGCCAATATAGCTTGTATGAATGACAAGCTTGCAAGGCCTAAGATTTCATGGGCTGCCTTGACATCTTGGAGCCTCATGGGGGCCCTAGGCCTGTGATTTCCTGATATCCACTCCAGTGGAAAAGGCTCCCCGCATGGCTCGTTCCTCTACAGCTAGACGAGTTGCACTCACCTGGTCCTCAACCAAACAGGTTTCATTTCCCTAACAACCCAAAGTCACTGAAACAAGCCAATCACACCCTCCACTGAAAACGGTACACCTCATCCTCTTGTTACTACAAAGCCTGCCCCCAATTGCTCCTTCTTGTTCACTGTTCCTGAATTCATCTTCTGTGTGGCACTACATGGCATGGAGTTCCCTCCTTCCTTGGCTGTTAGTACAGGTGACTAATAACCTGCTGTTTATCCCATGTGTCCAGTGTCAGATGTCCTGTGTTTGGTCATCTGAGGACCCAAGAGCCGGTCTCTCTCTCACCAACGAGATGACCAGAACAATGGCCAGGCATTAGTACGAATGTTAAATGGAATTTTCAGAGAACTAGAGGCAAATCTCACACCCTTTGGAATTTTGCTAAGTGTCAGGCTATTTGCAAATAGAAATGAATTTTAACTGAAATTATATTAGCTGGAACTGACTTTTATTAATTTAAAGGCCCCTGGGCTTTCCCATCTGCTCTTTTTAATTTTTATCATTCTCACCTGGATATTTTTGGGAGCAAAGCATTGTTCTCTTTCCTGAGATGGCTTAACTGTAGTCTTGCCTAAAGGCAAAGAAATAAAAAGTTGACCCTTCCAGTCCTGTCATTTAAATCTTTACTAACTGCATTCTTTCAGTTAAAGGTAGAGGAAATAATTTTTC